GCCTGGCTGGTGTGGCTCAGTGGGTGAGCGTTGACCCATGCACCAAGAGATTGCCAGTTTGATTTCCGATCAGGGCACATGCCCAGGTTGTGGGCCAAATCCCCAGGGGGAGACATGCAGGAGGTGACCAATCGATGTTCTCTCTCATCAATGTTTCTTTCTTCCTCCTTTTCCTTTCCTCTCTCTCTCTAAAATCAATAAAGAAAAAAAAAAAAAGGCAACTAGAACCCAGGCGCAGGGCTCAGCCTTTGGAAGTGACTGCTGGGCCAGCACCAGTGCGCATTAAACAGTCATTTTCTAATCCTCAGAGTGTGTGCAGTCTGTCTCTTCCTGCCAACCAAATTTCTGCCTCAACATAAGTATTTTGGTTCTTACACTAATTAGGTGGGAGACATGGAAAGGATTTGAACTGAGGAAAGATAATAACTTTGCCCCCAAACTGGTCTCTTCTTTATTTCTCAGATTAGTTACACCTCTACCCACACTGAAACCCTCTTTCTCACCTCATCTTGTTCCCCTTCCACCTCCACCTCTCACATCTCCATTATCATCCCATTCAGTGTTTCTAGAAAAGAGATGTCAACCTATGGTTGTTGGTGCCAATTCAATGCCAACATATATCCCTAATTTGGGGTGCAATGAAGAACAAAACTTTATTCAGTGCAAAACAGCTCAATTGTGATACCGCTGTGAAAACACAGCTGTGAGGAAGCCCTGGAGCCCTCTCTGGCTAGACTGCTCTGCTCTGCACCACATCTTTGGTGTTTCAGCTCAGCCAGGGAACCAGCCTTTGGTAGAGAGGGAAAGTGCACGCTCAGTTCCAGAGGGAAGTTAGCATGTGTCAGGATGGCCGAGTGGTCTAAGGCGCCAGACTCAAGCACTGCTTCCTTCCAGAGGGAAGTTAGCTTATACAGACAGATGTCCCCACCCCTGGCCCCTGACTGGCACCTGACTCCAAATCCTTGCAGTTTGATTGGTTCAAAAGACACTATCCTGATTGGGCTGAATACAGCCACTCTGATTTGTTAAAGTTGCACAGCAGTGATTGGATGGGGAAAGCCTCAGTCCTATTGGTTGAAATAGGATTCCAGAAACTCCTTCATAAGGGCTGGCTCAGAAGGCAGAAACACAGTGCAAGCAGTCAGTTCAGTGCAGAGGCAGGCAGTTCAGCACAGGATTCTCTGTGAAGTGCAGTTTGTGTGAAAGACCCCTGGGCATAAATGGCTGTTAGGCTCTGCTCTTTTTCTTTCTTTCTTTTTTTAGTTTGAGCACAGTTAGCCACTGGGAGCCCTTATTCATAAATGTATTTTTATCTCAGGGTTCACAGACAGTACACAACAAATGAACAGAAATATACAATAATACCAATAGCATTTCAATTTGGCAAAAGCAGCCAGTTAGGAAAAGATAGGGAACAGAGCTCTGTCTACCAAAGCAGTCATCTCTCTCCTAAAAGAGAATAATCTTAAGGAGGAGGACATGGCCTGTTTGAAGAAAACTACATAATTTTATTAAGAGGTTAACATAAGACTTGAATTAGTTAATAGATGTGTCATGTTTATGGATGAAATGACTGACCTTATTTTTTAATGTTAATTCTTGCAAATTAATATGCATTTATTGCAATTTCTATTTTTATAAATTCAATGGACTCAAAATGGATCAAATAACTAAACTTATTAAGAGCTAAGACTATACAACTCTCAGAAGTTACCCTAGCCAGGTAGCTCAGTTGGTTAGAATGTTGTCCCGATACACCAAGGTTGCAGGTTCAATCTCCAGTCAGGACACATACAAGAAAAAAACAGTGAACGCATAAATAAGTGGAACAACAAATTGATATTTCTCTCTCTCTCTAAAAACATAAGGGAAATCTTCATGACATTGGATTTGGCAATGATTTCTTGGATTTTATACCAAAAGCACAGGCAACAACAGAACAAATGAATAAACTGGACTTATCAAGATTAAAAATGTTCATGTATCATAGCCCACTATCAACAGAGTAAAAAGACAACCCACAAAATGCGAGAAAATTTTCACAAGTCCTATATCTAACAAGGGATTAATATTCTGAATTTATGAAGAACGACTAAAACTCAACAACAAAAATTACAAACAGTCTAATTAAAAAAATAAGCAAAGGGCCCAGCTGGTGTGGCTCAGTGACTGAGCATCAACCCATGTACCAGTAGGTCACCAGTTCGATTCCTGGTCAGGGCACATGCCCAGGTTGTGGGCCCGATGCTCAGTGGGGGGCGTGCAGGAGGCACACAATCTATGTTCTATCTCATCAATGTCTCTCTCTCTGGTATATAAAGTGAAAGAAGCCAGCTCTTGTCTTCCCTTTCCTATAAGAAGTTTCACTGAATATCCACATAGGAAGTAAGGGGAAGGAAGCAGCAGGCAAAGAAAGAATTCCAGCCAATAAACAGGGAAGAAATGCTGGAGGAAGGTCATTATTTTGCAGTTCTCAATGGCTGCTGGTCTCATGCAAGGAGAGACAATCAAAGAGTATGAGCCTCCTGGTCAAAGGACACAACACCACCCATGGCTATTCCAAAGGAATTAAACCCAAGTCTGACCCAAGTTCTAGAACAAACTGCCAACTTTTAGGACATAGGGAATACAGAGCAGCATACTGGACTGCATCATAAATATGTAATCAGTGACATCCTGACTGTAGGAAACATTTCAGGACAAATAGCCTGAGTTGTGCATTTGATTTATTGCAAGGGAAAAAAAGGGGATAGAGGGGGGCTGTGAATTAACAGAGATTGAAAATACCTATAATTTTATTTTGGAATGGATAATACTAAACTACAGTGTCCAGAGATTCATATTCAGGTGATAAACTATTCAGGAATGCAAGACAGTGATTACTACAGAAGTCACAAAAGTGGTTACTTTGCAAAGTAAAGAGGCAGCTATGATGGTGATGTAGTCAATGAGGACTTCTGAGGTAGCTGGTGGGGGCTATAATTATGTTCACTTCCCAGGTGGGTTTCTCAAACTCAGCACTATTGACATTCAGGCCATATAATCCTTTGTGTGTGTGTGTGTGTGTGTGTGTGGGGGTGCTCTGTGCACTGTAGGATGTTTAGCAGCATCCCTGGCCTCCACTCACTAGATCCCTTCCCTCTCTCCATCATGACAATCAAAAATTACCTTGGTTGAGAACCTCCCTTCAGTAATCCTTAAGCTATACATTTATATTATGTAGTTTATTATTTTCCAAAGATTTTAAAATTGATTTTTGGAGAGAGAGAGAAAGGGCGAGGAAGAGACACACAGAAACATTCGTGTGAGAGCCAGGCACCTCCTGCACACCACCTACTGGGGATGGAGATTGAGCCCTAAACCCTGGTGGGTGCCCTGACCAAGAATGAACAGGCAACATTTCAGTGCACTGGAGGATGCCCAACCAACTAAGCCACACTGGCCAGGACTTTTGTGGTTTCTTGAGTTTGGCTCTATGCATGTGTATTTTATTTTACTATAAAAATATTTTAAAAATTCCAATGGATTTTTCATGGGAAAACTTGACAGAGTTCTGCATACAGTTTATCTACATGAAAAAAAGACAGTGAAAATCACCCTGGCCTGTTTGGCTCAGCAGTTAGAGTGTTGGCCCGTGGACCAAAGAACCTTGGGTTTGATTATGATCAAGGGCACATATCTCGATTGTGGTTTGGTCCGCTGCCCTGGTCAGGGTTGTGTGGGAGGCAACCAGTCGATGTGTCCCTCTTACATCGATGTTTCTCTCTCCTCTGTCTCTCTCTCTGTCTCTCTCCCCCATCCTATTTTATCTGAAGAAAAATGGAAAATTGTCCTCTGGTGAGGATTAAAAAAAAAAAAAAGACAGTGAAAATAGCCTAGGAATTGTATAAAAGGAGGACTATCAGATATTGAAATACATTATAAAGCTATAGTAGTTAAAGCAGAGTGACACTGGGACAACATAGAGGGATCTGAAATAAAAAAACTTGCCTCCAGAGGGGCTCCATTGATCAGATAAAGTCTGAGAGCTTCAGATGTGCCTTTCTTCCTGTCCCTTCAGGTACCCTCCCACCAACACAATGACCTAGTTCAAGTCCTCCATATAGGGAGTTTCCTTCTCTTCCTTTGCCTGTGCACTTTCTCCTATTTGGAGCACCCTTTCTTAAGTGTTACCCCTTCAGGCTGTCTCACCGAACCTCCAGGTGAGGGATTTTCCCCTTTTTCTCCTCCCACAGACTCCAGCTCCCACCCACCATCCCCTTACCATAAACCTTAGCTTGAAAATCTGCCTCTGCCCTCAGCTTTGCGGTCCAAGATAGCAGAGATTGTAGGGACCTATACAGTGCCAAGTACATAGTATGCTCAAAATAATCAGGAAAAACCCAACCTGTACAGTCACTTTAGATAATAATATATTTTAAATAGATTAAAATAGTAAATGTAATTGTAAATCATTAGTTCAATCAGCATTTATTGAGCACCTACTATGTGCCAGGAGCACTGGATGAAGCAGTGACCAAAATAAATCAATTCCCTGTCCTTATGGTGCTGACACTAGTGGCAGAGATGTGCAGGGAAGATAGTTTAGGAAGGTGGAACAGCATATGCAAAGACCCTACGATGGGAAAGATCCAGAGTATCTCACCCAGACGCTGGGACATGAGCCTCAGTCGTTCCAGCTTCCACCCAAAGGATCTTCCAAACATATCAATCGTCCCAGTGACTTTCCTGCTCAGAGCCTTCCCATGGTTCTCTAATGTCCAGTGGATCAAACCCAAAGTCCTTAGCTTTGGGCTGGGCAGCATTTCTCCACGCGCTCCGCCCCGTCCTCCCCCTGGAACCGCCCCACGTTCGCGGCGCCAGCCCACTCCGCCTCACTATTGGACAGTTCGGAGCGTATCGGACGTTGGTTGGTTGGGGTGACCGTCACTTAGAGTCAGGGCATTGATAACCCGTTCTCTTGCTTCGAGGGGGCGGGCTCGGGTGCGGGCGCGGCTGGGGTTGCGGCATCAGGTAAATCGCCTGTTTGTGGGGCACCGATGCGGATTTTGGGGGGGATAAAGGGACTACCCGGGAAGGGGCGCTGCGCCTTCAACCACTCTGCAGGCTTAGCGCGCTGCGACGAGGCGGGTACCGTGTCCTCTGCCTGGGACCCCTCCCACACTGAGAGTCCCGAATGGGCAGCGAGCAGAATGGGAAACTCTGGATTCGTGAGATCGCCCTCCTCCCGTCCTCCAGGAGGCGAGTTGGGGGCTTGTTTGCCCCCTAGCTCCCCAACGGATTCTGAGACACTTTCCCCGCGTCTCTCCTGGACAGCTTGGGGACCCAGGTCGAGCCCCTCGCGCTGGACCTGGGTATGTGTGTGTGTGTGTGGGGGGGGGCACGGAAACGGTGTTGGGGGAGGGATGGACGGCCACCCGGCCAGCAGACAATGGGCAGCGGATGGAACCGCCCAGCGGCGTTTCCTGTAGGAAACGGCTGTCTCTGCGAGGCTGTCCTGGGGGGACAGTGAAGGGGTGGTGTGTGCTGACCTGAGTACCTCCGTCTCACACGATCATCAGCCAACACCCCTACCTTAGGGTCGTGCGAGTTCGCCCCAATGTTAGGGGATACCACCAATGTAGGGCCTCAAGTTGGGAAAAAGTCCTCTCCCTAGGACTGGGAGCCGCACTGCCTGCGGCGTCCCGCATTCTTCGTAATTTCGTGATCTCGTCATGAGTGCTGAAATAGTTCCTGGGTTGGAGTAGGGGCGTCTGGATTCGAGTAGGGTTGGAGTAGGGATCTTTAAGCAGAGGATCGGGATCTAGATGTGACAACTCCGGCAGGAAACGAAAGAGAGAGGAGGGCAGTTGCCCGCCAACTCTGGTGAGGCTGCAGCCCCCGGAGCCATTGGGTTATGAGCCCGATCCCCGCCATCAGGGACACACGTGGGGCAGGCATGAATGCAGGGTTGGGAGGGTCGGGGAAGGGAGGGCTGTTTCTAGAAGGCCATCAAGTGGCGTGGTCAATGCAGAAACAGCGGCAAAGCTGCCTGGGCTTAAATCCTGCCTTTGCCTGTATGTTACCTTGGACGCATCACTTTATCTGTGTCTGTTTCTCCATCTATAATGGAGAAAAGATGAATAATAGTAAGAAAACCTACCTCAGAGGGTGTAGTTTGGATTTTTTTTTTAAGTTAATTAATACCTACAGATTGCCTAGAATTGAAGCTGGTCCATTGAAAATGGAGAAAGTTGTTTTTATTATTTACCGTTCTTGGAGCATCCACCCATTTCTCAGCCCAGTCTCTGGGTCCAGTTGCTGCAGCTGGTTTGGGCTGTAGGGATGGCCCACAGCTGTTCTATGAATTCCCAGCACCTCAGATTTGGGTGTTACCAGTCACTGGAGGAGGGGGCTGACCCCAACTGAGTCACACATCAGAGCCCACCTCTTCTCTGGCAGTTTCCTAAAAAACAAGTTCTGAGATGCACTGGATGTCCTCTGTGATGACCAGCTGTCCTGCTGGCCCACTCCTTGCAGCCCATATAAGGGGACAGGAAACAGCTGCTTTGGGACTCGAAGGGGCCCTGCCTGGCCTTGGGGGTGGGTAGGGGAAGTCAGAGACCCAGGCTGGACAAAGGTGGGAAATGGAAAGGTTAGTTTAGCACAGATAAGCAACGGGTTAGGAGTTCAGATTGGGTCTGGTAGGCAAGGGTCCCAGAAGATGAGCAGAGCCTAGTCTGAGGGTTATTTATTTTTAATATTTTAATTGATTTTTAGATAGAGAGGAAGGGAGAGAGAAAGAAACATCTATGTGAGAGCACAAGATGGACTGGCTGCCTCCTGCACACTTCCTACTGGGGATGAGCCCACAAACCCAGGCAGGTGCCATCACCAGGAATCAAACCAGCAACATTTTGGTGCACAGGACGACGCCCAACCAACTGAGCCATACCAACCAGGACACTGGATTATATTTAATCAAGCAGGGCATACAGCAGGCACTTGATATTTGCAGCTTGCCCTTTCCTGAAGATTTTTCATGTGGGCTCTTCAGAGCCCCATCTTTCTCACCCTGTGCTTTCTGAATCCAAGTTTTGGACTCATTTGTCCTATAAAATATCACATTATCAGATATGTCCCAATCTCCCTCAGTTTCTTAGAGCCTCCATCATGTCACCCCATTACTTTCCCTCCAGACCCAGGCATAGTTTCAGCTCTGACAACCTGGGCGCTTGTGGTTCTAGTACAAACTCTTATAAGCCAAGGGCAGAGCCCTGTGGCACTCCACTAGAGACATTCTGGGGGTACGGGTATCCATTGATTTGCATCCATTGTGCATCTAGCCCACAATTCTCTGGGATTTCTACAAGGATTTCACAAGTGACCTTTGGTAAAAATTCACATGCATGATTATATCTTGTTTGTATTTGTCTAAGCAAAAAATTTAAGTGATTCTGTATTTTTGTTGGTTTTTAATCTGCAGAATCTGACCAGCTGAGCTCTGAATGAGCCCAGGAAGGGCTTCCAATTTTTGCCTTCCTCTTCTGAAGGTTCACATTCTACCCCTGTGACCATTAATTTGTGAATTAGGTATTTTTTTTTATCCTCACCCGAGGACATTTTTGTTCAGATAGAGCGGGAGGGTAGGGAGAGAGAGGAAGAGAGAGAGAGAGAAACATTGATGTGAAGGGACGCATCGAGGGGCTGCCACCCGCACAACCAACTAGGGCCAGGGACAAACTGCAACCGAGGTACATGCCCTTAGCAGGAACCGAACCCGGGTCTCTCTGTACCGCAGGCCGACGCTCTAACCGCTGAGCCAAACCGGCCAGGGCGTGAATTAGGTATTGACAAAAAACTCAGCAAGTCTGGAATGACAACCATCCCAACCCCCACCCCCAGCTACTTTTGTTTTCTTGACCACTTTCCTCCCTCTTTTTTAAAATTGATTTTTTAGAGAGTGAGGGAGATGGGGAGATAGAAACATCCATGTGAGAAACATCATCAACTACCTCCTGTACGCTCCCCACTGGGGATCAAGCCTGAGACCTGGAATTGAATTGGTACCTCTCAGTCCATGGGACAAAGCTCAATCCACTGAACCACAAAGGCCAGGCACTCTCTTCTTTTATTTTCTCATTTAAAAAAATTTTCTATTTTTTGTTAATACCTGAGGATATTTTTCCATTGATTTTTAGATAGAGTGGAAGGGAGGGAGGGAGAGAGAGAAACATCGATGTGAGAGAGAAACATCAACTGGTTGCCTCCTGCACAACTCCGACCTGGGCCGGGGATCAAACCTGCAACCCAGGTATGTGCCCTTGACTGGGAATTGAACCTGTGATCCTTCGGTCTGTGGGCCAACACTAACTGCTAAGCCATACCAGCTAGGGCTCCTCTCTTCTTTTTCTTTATTAATTTTTAGAGAGAGCGAGGGAGATAGAAACATCAATGAGAGTGAACACCGATTGGCCACCTCCTGCATGCCCCCCACCGGGAATTGGGCCCACAACCTGGGCATGTGCCCTAACCAAACATCAAACTGACAACTTCTTGGTGCATGGGTCGACGCTCAACCAGTGAGCCACACAAGCCAGACATCTTTTGATGCCCTTCCTGCCGTCTCCTGCCCAGCAGGCTGAGGCCTGGCACCTGGGTGTTTCCACATTCATTCCAACGTTTCAAGGCCTCTTGAGGGAAGAAGGAGGAAAGGGTACAGTGTGTGGGAGTGAGTTGTTGACAAGGAGCTCTTGGGTTTGTTTACTTACTCAGAATCCAGGCTGACCCCAGAGCCACAGCAGAGGGACAGGGCCTGACTCCACCCTCACCCCCACTGGGGGCCTTTTTCAGGGTGTCTGGTGGCTACTCCAGGAAACATGGCCAAGTTTGCCCTGAATCAGAACCTGTCTGGTGAGTGTACAAAATGGGTTACATGTGAGTGCACAGATCCACACTTGGTGCTGGTGTGTGGACACAATCCTGCAGTTCCCTTCACATAGTGTCCAGAGGTCACCTCCTACGCTTCCCAATTACATGTGGAATATAACCAAACTTGTCATGATGGCCCAGGAGTACCTCTGTTTGGCTCCAGCTCCTCCTCTCCTACTCCTCTTGCCCCTCTCTTCCATTACTCTGCTCTGGACACCCTCACCTCCACCTATTACTCCAGTCCACCCAGCTCTCTCCATCCCAGGAGTTTTTGTTTGTTTGTTTTCTGCATGGGCTGTTTATTTTAGGAACCTTCTGTCCCCAGGTGATTCCTTATCATGGGCTCAATGTATAAGTCTCCGCAGGAAACCTGCCCTGACTAGAACCCAAATCATGCCTCCTCCAGTTATTCTCTACTTCATCTAATTGCCCTAATCACCATTTGTAATGGTTGTGTTTATCCGTCTCCTTCAAGAGGGCAAGGATGTTTATCTTGTTTGCTGCTGTCCTCGGTGCCTAGAAAAATGCTTGGCATATAGTAGGAGCTCAATAAACGTGTGTTTGCAGGACTATTTGGGTGTAAATAGACATTTGAGCCTCGGGTGTGTAATGGCAAGTATGCAGTTTGGTGGTGGTGAGGGGGAGGCGCTCCGTTTATCCAGCTGTTGCGGATCCCTCTGACCTGACACCCCTCTCAACCCGTTATGCACGCAGACCTGGGTGTCTCCAGCACGTGTCCCGGCCCAGTTGGGGGCGCCCGCCGCCTGAGCTCGCCCTACGTGGTGGAGACGCCCTACGGCTTCCACTTGGACTTGGATTTTCTTAAATATGTGGAGGAGTTGGAGCGCGGACCCTTAGTCCGCTGCGTCCCACACGTGGAGGACACGCTCCTGGAGACTGGTAGACGTCAGGAGCTGGTGCAGGCACAGGAGCACGAGCGCAGCCCTGGAGGTTCCAACAGCAGCTGCCCAGCCCCAGGCTCCGTCCCCAATCTCGCCCCTGCCTCACCGGGCCCTGGGCAACTGCAGCTGGTGCGTGAACAAATGGCGGTGGTACTGCGGCGTTTGCGCGAGCTCGAGGACCAGGCGCGTACGCTGCCCGAGCTGCAAGAGCAGGTGCGAGTGCTGCGTGCGGAGAAGGCGAGGTTACTGGCTGTGCGCGGGCAGCCAGAATCTGAAGTGGAGGCCGATGCGCGCCCCGACAAGCTTGCACAGCTGCGGCGGCTCACGGAACTCCTGGCGACTTCGGAGCGGGGCGTTCGCGCCAGGGCCCGACCCCAGCCAGATGGCCCTGACATGGAGGCTACAAGGTGTGGCGAGGACGCACTGGAGGTCCTCGACGGGGCAGCGGGTACCTCCGACTGGACGCCCGGAACACGGGAGCCTGGAACCCAGGCCGTCCTGGGGATGCAAGAAGAGGGAGTCCAGGCAGTGCCAGAGACCCGGGAGGCCAGCGTGCAAGCGGCCCCCAAGACCCTTGAGGTGGACGTGTGGGTAACCGAGGCGTTGCTGGGGCTGCCCCCTGCCGCCGAGCGCAAGCTAGAGCTGCTGCACACCAGCCTGGAGCCCCAATTTGGGGTGAGCGAGGCTGCGGGGGAGGAGGCAGCAGCCCAGTCTCAGCTGTTCAAGGCTGCCACCCAGACCCTGTGGGATTGTGTCGAGAAAGCCACGCAGACCGAGCCCCTCGCGGAAGCACCTTCCCTGACACAGAGCCCGTCTGAACTCACAGATGGGGACAGGACCATGGCGCCCGCGGGTGAGTCCCAACCCCTTGTGGAGCCCTGGCTTGTTGGTCTCCGTACTCGAACTCAGTGCCCTTATCTGATCTCTGGCAGGCATCCTCAAATCTATCATGAAGAAGAGAGACGGACCACCTAGCGACCAATCCAGCCCCGGACCCAAGAGCCTGCAGTTTGTCGGGGTCCCCAACAAAGAGTGAGCATTTCCCCCCTCCCCATGGCAAGCATCTGCGGGAATATTGACGGGTTTGAATTCCAGCTCTGCCCCTCTCGCAGGGCGGTCTTGGCAAGGCTGTTTCTTCACAGGACTCCAGAACGAACCTACAGGGTAAGCTCAATAGATGTCTCCCAACCCGCCCCCAGGTACGAAAGCTCATCCAGTGAGGAAGACAGTGACAGTGAGGATGGTGTTGCCGAGCCCCTGAGGAGCAGCACCTGTGGTTTCAGGGACAACAGCGGCTCGGGATCCGACTCCGGAACCCCTAGTCCTTCCAGCAGCGGGGTCGCCCAGGACCCCGAGCCAGAGACGGAGGCAGAGCCTCTGCCGGGTGCGCAGGGGAGGTATGCAGTCCCAGGGACACCGGAGTGGGGACGTTGTTCTCCTTCCGGCTTCTGAGCCCCCACTCCCGAGCCTCTCCCGACCTCTTCTGTAGGTGCGAAATGAGCCCGCGATTGAGGGAGGCGTGCGTAGCGTTGCATCAGCAGCTGAGCCAGCCCGGTGGAGTTGCCTGCGAAGGCGTGAGTGTGAGAATAATCTGTCACAGATGGAGTCGTGGGTCCGCCAGGGACCTCCCCTGAGGTCCTTAGGGAAGCGCCTCTATTGCCTAGAATTGGGTGAGGGTCTGGAGTTCTGTCTCCTAGCGCCAGGGACCTCTACCAATCCCAGGCTCTCCAAAGGAATCTCCGCCCCAGGACTGCGGTGTTTATTACCCGGTTCTATAAATGGGTCCAGCCCCAAACACCGATCCAAGCTCCAGGTGCTCTCCAGGACTTCCCAGAAAAGCGCTCACCGTTTTCCTCCTCTCCAGGTGTTCCCACAGGCTCTTGCTCAGAAGGGAAGGATCCCTGCTCCTGTGAGCCTGGGACCCACATGTATTCCTTTCAAAGGGGTGCGGCACCATGGGTCATCCCTCATCAGACAAGAAGTGACCAGCCCCTGCCTGGATTCCTAGCCCTGCTCCTGCACCCTCCTCGCCACCTTGCGGGAACCGTCGCTGATGCCTTTCCCTGTCCCCACAGGGTGCGGCTCGCCTGGTGGCCCTGGAGTGGTTTCAAGTGTCGAGCCAGCGACATTCACGGGTGGAGGTTGTAGCCAGCGTCCTGGGTGAGGTGGCACGCCTGGGACCCGAGCTGCTGGAGCACGTGGTGAACCTGGTGGATGGCAATGGAAACACAGCCCTGCACTACAGTGTGTCCCATGGGAACCTGGCCATCTCCAGCTTGCTGCTGGATACTGGTCAGCATGGAGGAAGGGTGGGCAGGGTAGTAGGTAATGGGGTGGGAGGCATGGAAAGAAGGGCCTGGGCAGTTCTCAGATGAAAAAACCTGGAGAAGCCCCAGAGAAGGGATGGCCAGGCAGATGGCACCACCAACCCTTCACTGGGAGTTTCAGGATCCATCATGGATTGATCTGAGCTCTGCCAAGACCCTTTGCTCACTTTTCTGGGGGAGGTAATTTCAGGCTTTTGGATTATGGCATCCTAAATTTAGGGAAATTATTTAATTTCCTCAGCTGTGAAAACACGTGTAGTACAGTGTCAGGGGAGCAGTATGAGTCTCCAGCCCTAGCATTTACCTTGTTCCTGAGCCCCAATGTCCAGCCAGCTGCCTCTCCAGTCTTGAGGGAAGGCACTTACTGGTCAAGACTGTGACCACCATTCTGGTCTGGGACTGTACCTTATCCTCCATTGGTTCCATTTCACACATTTCTATCACCTGCCTCTTACTAGTTCACCCCCTGCCTCTGGAGCAGATACATGGCCCCATGTGTTGCTGAAGCCATAGACATATACTGAGTCTACTAGGTACTAGATGCAGTGCTGGAGTGGGCCATCCAAATACAGATGCTGCCCTGGCCGGTTTGGCTCAGCGGTTAGAGCGTCGGCCTGCGGTCTGGAGAGACCCGGGTTCGGTTCCCGCTAAGGGCACGTACTTCGGTTGCAGTTTGTCCCCGGCCCTGGTTGGTCGTGCGGGTGGCAGCCACTCGATGTGTCCCTTTCACGTCGATGTTTCTCTCTCTCTCTCCCTTCCTCTCTCTCCCTCCCACTCTATCTGTACAAAAAATGGAAAAATGCCCTCGGGTGAGGACAAATACAGATGCTTTTCCCACTGGACTCACAACAGAGGGGACAGTGAACAGCAGACAAGCCGACTGCCCAAGAGCCCCCCCCCCCCCCTTAATTAATCTTCTTCCAAAGATACTTTTTCCACTGATTTTTTTGTTGTTGTTCAGGTAAAGTGGGAGGGGGAGAGAGGAACAGAGAGAGAGAGAGAGAAACATCGACGTGAAAGGAACACATCGAGTGGCTGCCACCCGCACAACCGACCAGGGCCGGGGACAAACTGCAACCGAAGTACGTGCCCTTAGCGGGAACCGAACCCGGGTCTCTCAGGACCGCAGGCCAACGCTCTAACCGCTGAACCAAACCAGCCAGGGCGATTTTTTTTTTTTAAAGAGAGAATAGGGGGTGGGGGGCAGAGAAACATTGATGTGAGACACACTGACTGGTTGCCTCCCCAACTGGGGCTGGGAATCAAACCTGCAAACCAGGTATATACTCTTGACCAGGAATTGAACCCAAGATTCTTTGGTGTGCAGGCTGAAGCCTAACCACTTAATCACACTGATAAGTGCCTAAGAGCACTTTGGAGTGCCCTCTTGGGGCCTGCCCTTGGGAAACCTCACAGCAGCAGGGGCAGGTCCCCACCCCCAAGGATCCTGGTGACCAAAGGAAGGTCACAGCTGCTCTGAGCTTGTCAGGAGGGAACAATGCATGAATTTGAGTTATTTCCTGGGCATCCCCTGCCTTAAAGGGCACTGTGGCTGCAGCAGATGACAAGGAAGGCATGGCAGTATTCACAAGAGGCCCAAGGCCCCTTGGACCCTTTTATTCTCTGCATTGAACCGCCTTTAGCCATCACCAGTATCCCTCATACCCCTTCTTGCCCGCTGTCATGTCAACCTGGTCCTTTCTCTCTCAGGACCCTGAGCCCTCAATGAACCCTTCATATAGGGACTGCCTCCTTTCACCTGTTCCTCTCCCTTCACCTTTAACTTACACTTGGAAGGTCACCTTAAAACCCAATGTCACCAATCGCTATGCCCCCTCCATCATCTCCCCAGAACCTTCTTAACCTTCACCTCCCTGACATCTCAGCTTGCTATCTTCCATTTCCCAACCCCAATAATCCTCCCAATTATCCACTGTCCCCACCCCTTCTCCTTGGACAAATCAGAAGGGATTAGAGTCTACCATGACATCTTGTTGCATCTGCAAAGACCCTATTATAGCACTTCAACATTTAGGGGAACACATTCAACCTGTAATACAGGTTTGGGGCAGGGGAGGATTCCAGAGGAAGGAAAATAGGTTAGATAACAGCCTCAGATATCCTGGTGGACCATAACCTGCATCCCAGGAGCAATGGGCCAAATTTCTTTTGATCTGCTTCTGGCTGCTGCATGAAAAGGAGGGGGATTCAGATCAAAGTAGACCAGTTGGCACAGTTCTCTGGTGGGGAACAATTATGGTAGCTTGGGTAGTAGCCATGAAAATCAGTACCCCTTACTGAGCACGTACTATGTGCCAGGTACTGTTCTAATTACTAGGGAACACAGCAGCAAACAAAACCAAATCCCCAAACCAGTTCAAAGTAGAGAATAGAGAGGGATTTACTGAGGTGAGATTTGAGAACACTGAAGGTGGAGAAGCCACATGGCTTTTAGTGTGAGACCAAACCTTGTAGGCAAAGGGAGACTCAATTCATAACCCATGGTTACCACCTGTTACACACTTGAACCTGACACTGGGGGAGAGGTGAGTGGACCAGGTTGGGCTAGGGGTGTAGGCTCTTCTCAGTTGACTGATTCCTTCCTCTCTCCTAGGGGTCTGCAAAGTTGACTGTCAGAATCAAGCAGGCTACTCAGCCCTCATGTTGGCTGCACTCACCTCTGTTGGGCATGAGGACATGGCTGTGGTCCAGAGACTCTTCCAAATGGGCAATGTCAATGCCAAGGCTAGTCAGGTGCGTGGACATCTTCCCTGGCTCCTGAAGGAAGCCATTTCCACCTCAGAAGCCAACCCTGTCTTCTTCCCCACTCCTCAGACAGGGCAGACAGCCCTCATGCTGGCCATTAGTCATAGCCGACAGGATATGGTCATAGCCCTGTTGGCATGCGGGGCAGACGTCAATGTGCAAGATGTAGATGGAGCCACAGCGCTGATGTTTGCCAGTGAGTACGGGCGCCTGGAAACCGTCCAGTTGCTGCTGGCCCAGCCAGGCTGTGATCCTGCCCTCCTGGATAATGTGAGCCACTGTGGGGCTGGTTGGGTAAGCAGGGCACCCATGCTTTGGTTCAGGGACCTAACTCCCTGTTATTCTTCAGGAGGGCACCAGTGCCCTTGCCATGGCCCTGGAGGCTGAACAGGATGAGGTAGCTGCTCTGCTGCATGCCCACCTGAGTTTGGGCCAGCCTGGTCCCCTGGTGAGTGTAGCTCCAGCCCCAAGCAACAAAATTTTACAGCTGCACATTGGGGGAGGCCACCAAGCAAGTTTTATCAAGCTCTCCCTTTCTACTCCCCCAGGAAAGCAGTGGGGCGGGAAACCAGGGTCTGAATTTCTTTGGTGGCAGGGACACTTCCTCCATTTTATAGGTCATGAACCTGAGGCCTGCAGAGGAAAAGTGACCTGTGATCGGAGGAGACTTGTTAGGGCTTCAACGTCAATGAACTCTTGTTACTGCCCTCAAGGAGGCTCATAGCAAAGGAATTAAGAGACCCCTTGGAGTTAGGCCTGGTGGGAGAAGAGGATGCAGGCCCCCAGCTAGTAAGAGCTTCAAAACTGGAGACTGGATGAGTTTGCCAGCAGCAGGCAGGGAGGGAATACTCAGTTTGTCTCCAAGGGAAGAGAAGTAATACTCAAAATATTTGCATAATTAAATTAATTAGCCCGCCCATCCTACTCTTTCCTGTAGACAAGTGGGAAAGAAAGCATGTAGGTCTAGTGCCTCTTCCAGGTCAGATGGGGCAAACGCAGGATTCAAACCCAGGCAGCCTGGCTCCACAGTGAAGGAGTTCTTTCTTAGACATGACCAACAATGGAGAGGAACAAGACCTCCACTAGGTTGAGCATTCCTGAGTCTGAGGGAGCTGAAACCCACATAGCATTTTATCCACAAGAAGATTTTAAAGTTACCTTCCCCACCTCTCTCAGTCATTCCCTGACTCTCCCACGGCCATGCCTGGTCAAAGAGGAAGCAGTGACAATGGAGAGGACCACCAGTCTCAGTGAGTGGCCTCAAACAATGGACCCGAATGGGGTGGGTGAAGAGATCTTTCCCTCCCCCACTTCAACCTCTGTGGTCCTGCCCAGTTGCTAGATCTGGCCCAACCTTTTTCCCCAATAAAACATTCCCAGCTAAACTTGTATCTTGTTTTCAGAGCACATACAGATACATGGTTCCCTCTCCTCAAAAAGAAAATGCCTTGTTGGAGTAGAACTCCCCTTCCCCAGATTTCCAGAATGCGAAAAGGCCAGTGACCACCTGGGTACCACGCCAGAAAAGTATTATATAGGCCTAGTGACCCCAGACAAGAACCGACTTTACATAAATGCTTTATTAACAGTGGAACAGCTTCCCCATGGGCCACGTGGTCCACCCAGACATCCAGCCAGGACCCTGTAAACAGACCCAAGCATGAGATGCCGACAGGCCTCCCAGCAACTGGCAAACTCCCTCCCCAGCCTTGCCAATTTCAGCACCCTGTATTTACAACCCCATCCTCCTCCAAGAGCCCCTGACCCATGGGCTTGCCAAAATCTCCCTACCATGAGTCAAGAGGCCGGCTTTCAGTTCCCCTATTCCGGTACTGCACTCACCAGGCACAAATTCAGCGCAGCCTCCGAGCTTCTCGCTCTGACTCCAACAGAGTGAGCACGTCGCCCTCGCGCACGGGGCCTTTCACGTTGCGGATGATGGAGCGGCTCGTGTCGTCCATGAATTCCACGCGCACCTACGGGGCCCACCCGGGGCGAAGAGGAGTGTGGGCCAGCCAGTGAAAGACACCGCGGGGTGGGCAGCAGATCTGGATTTAGAAGGCGTGGAGGAGCCGGCCAAGGGATACTGAGAAGAGGGACTGAGGCTCGCTGACAGGTGGGATTGGGCCGGGAGAAAAGCCGAAAACGGCGGAGACATGGAGATAAAAGCTCTCGAGCGTCAGAAGCAGCCACCGGGCGTGAAAGTAGGGAGGGGGTTTGCAGTTCTGGGCCCTTTGGGGACAGGTGCATACTCGGCCGGACGTGAAGCCACACAATGGTCGTTGGGGCCTGACAGGGCATTGGTGCGTGTTCAGACCCTCCAGAAAACCTAGGATAAAGGGTTCTCGGATTCCAACAGGCCCCAGGGGCGTCCCCACCCGCTCACCTGCGTGCACTGTCCCTGGGAACCGGTCCTGCCCAGCACCTTGGTGACCTGGCAGAAGGAAGTGGGGTCAGAACTGGCCCGCCCGGTTACCCCTACCCCACCAGCCTCACTTCGGCCCTCAACACCGGGGACCCCTCTCACCCTGGCTAGCTTGATAGGCTGCACACGACTCGTGTCCATGATGGCGGCAGCTGTCGGGCGGAAAGGAGTCACGTGCTTTGAGAAACTCCTTTATACAACGTCTTAGCCCCGCCCTCCCTGCTCTCGCGAGACCTTACACGTACTTCCCAACAGCCTCCGCTGTGGGGATGTAGCGGGCGCCCTTCAGCACAGACGGAAGATGGCGTCTGCTACCCGGTTCATCCAGACTCTGCGCAACTGGGCCTCTGGGGTGCGTGGAGCGGAAAGGACCGTGCTGAGGGGGCTGCGACTTCCTTGCGCCCGGGACCCGCTCCTTCACTCCCTCCTGTATTCTGCCAGGGTCTGAAGGCCTTAGTGCCGAGATCCCCCTGGGCCAGGACCCCTCGCTTAGCCCGGAACCCCTAACCCTTGACCCCTTCAGCCCGGGAGACCTGGCATCTCCCTAGTTCTGGACCTTATTAGCCTTGGACCTGGTAGCCCCAGCCCCCGACTTTCCTCTTCACAGGGCCTGTATCCCTGTCTCCATCAGCCCATTTCTCGCCTTTCCTTCATTTATCTATCCGTGGGGTTTCTCCTTCCCTCCACCTCTTCTCTCTTCTTTGGTGCCATGCTAGCTTGACCTCTTTCCTCCTCTTCCACAGCAAGACTTGCAGGCGAAGCTGCAGCTGCGCTACCAGGAGATCGCCAAGAGGTGAGCAGTCCCTGCTCGCTGTTCCAACCCTCACCCTGTTCTGTCCTTCCTCCACCAAAAACAAAATCTTTGTTCCTTTAGACTCCTGAAGCCCTGGGGAAAATCCTGCCTCCAGCTTCCTGACAGGCTGTGAAGGCCGGTTTGCCTTTAATCTTGCTGGACTGGGTCGTAAACTGCTTCTTTTGGAAACAGCTGGATTGGGCGTGAATTCTGATTGGGAATTGTAGTCTTCTGTGTGACCTTGCCAGTTATTGTTATCCCACGCTATAGATGAAAAAAAATTGAGGCGTGGAGAGACGAAATCATTTGCCTAAAGCCACCAAGAAATTAGAAAGTGACAGCTGGGACTTGGACCCAGAATTGTCTTGATTTCAACTCATTTATGTCCAAAAAGCCCTTGATATTTACAAGCCTGGCCATGTCCTCAGCCTTGAGGATACTGTACAAAAAAGAAAATTTCTTGTCCTCATTCTTTCATGTCCTAGGGAGAGAGAAACATTGTAGGGAAATAAACACAGCAGGCAAAAAAAGATTATTCTTGAAAGCTCCAAAGACAAAATGAATGAGAGTAATCTGGTGGGTGGCTACCTCAGATCATGTGGTCAGGAAAAATTTCTTTTCAGGGATTGACATTTGATTCACCAAAATGATGAGAAGGAGCCAAAGGATAATTATTGAAGAAACATGGGTAGAAGGAACACTAAGCAGTGAGGCTGTGAGGCCTGACAGAACCAGAAGTAGGAAGGCCAGTGTGGCTGAAACACATGGAGGAAAGGGGGATAGAAGTATAAAATGGAGTCAATGGCAGGCAAAGGTAAGGCAGCATTGGAGAATTGTCAGTAAAAGAAGAAAAACAGCACTAAAGTAACCAAATCTATGTGAATGCCTACAGTTGTGACTAATTCCTAATATCAAAAGTTTTAAATTGCTTTTCCATCCAGGGTTTGGTCCAGTTAAGGAAACTTCTGTAAAATTTTCGTCTTCTTTAGGATAATGTCCCCCTCCAAGTGACTCATTTGGGCCTTAACATTCGGTGCTGGTTCTTTATACCTTTTCTGTGCTAGGTTGCAGAAAGCTATGGTCATTCTTACAGAGGTCATTTCTGCACTCCAGGGGTTAAAATCTAATTTCCACACAGGATGTTATTTTGAATGTTAAATTTTTGAATTTTTTTAAATTTTTTTTTAAATTCTCACCCGAGGACATTTTTTGATATTTATTCAGATAGAGTGGGAGGGAGAGAGAGAGAAACATAGACATGAAAGGGACACATCGAGTGTTTGCCACCCGCATGACCCAACCAGGGCCGGGGACAAACTGCAACTGAGGTGTGTGCCCTTAGCGGGAACCTAACCTGGGTCTCTCTGGACCACAGGCCAATGCTCTAACTGCTGAGCCAAACAGGACAGGGCTGAATATGTTTATTTAATGGGTTATTTTTAGGGAGAGAGAGATAGAAACATTGATGTGAGAGAGAAACAGTCTGCTGCCTCCTGCATGCTGCCTACTGGGGATCAAGCCCACAACCTAGGCATGTGCTGTGACCAGGAATCGAACGGGGACCTCTCAGTCCATGGGACGTCACTCAATCCACTGAGCCACACCAACTGAGCTTGAATGTTAAATTTTTAAAATACATTTTTATCTGTATTTCTTTAAAAAAGAAAAAAAATACACACACACATACATATATACATATATATGTATATACATACATATATAAAATGGCCCTGGCCAGTTTGGCTCAGCAGTTGGAGTATTGACCTGCAGTCCAGAGAGACCCAGGTTTGGTTCCCGCTAGGGCATGTACCTCGGTTGCGGTTTTCCCTGGCCCTGGTTTGTTGTGCAGGAGGCGGCCACTTGATGTGTCCCTTTCACGTTGGTGTTTCTCTGTCTCTCCCTCCCACTCTATCTGAGCAAAAAATGGAAAAATGTTCTTGAAAATTGTCCTCGGGTGAGGATAAATATATATGTATATAACTACTGTCATTTGTCTTAAGAAAAACTTAAATCTGCCCAGCCGGTGTGGCTCAGTGGATTGAGCGTCGTCCCATGGACTGAGAGGTCCAGGTCAGGACACATGCCTGGGTTTCATGCTCGGTTCCCAGTGGGGGGTATGCAGGAGGCAACTGATCAGTGTTTCTCTCTCTAAAAAAATCAATAAAAACATATATATATATATGTATTTTTTCAATCCTCACCCAAGGGTATTTTTCCATTTATCTTCAGACAGAATGGGAGGAGAGAGAGAGAGAATCATCAATGTGAGAGAGGCATATCGATTGGTTTCCTCCCAAATGACCCTGACCAGGGCCAGGGACCAAACCGTAAATGAGGTAATGTGCCCTTGACCAGAATTGAACCTGTGACTCTTCGGTCCACGGGCCGACACTAACCACTGAACCAAACCGGCCAGGGTGAAAACATTTTTTTTAAAAAAGAAAGAAAAACTTAAATCCTGGCAAAATGATTACCAGACATAAAGTTTAAAAACATGGTTGATGTCTGGCTGGTGTGGCTCAGTGGACTGAGCATTGCCCCATGGACTGAGAGGTCCAGGTTTGATTCCAGATCAGGGCACATGCCCAGGTTTCGGGCTCGGTCCCCAGTGGGGGTGTGTAGGAGGCAGCCTATGGATGTTTGTTTTTCTCCTTTCCTCTCTAAAAAATCAATGAAAACATTAAAAAGGCTAAAACAAAACATGGTTGAATGAAAAACCAATTTTTAAAATATCTTTCTTGCCCTCCTTCTCTGCTATGTTTTCTAGGGAAGCTCCTCTTGAGGTTAGGGTTTCCTTTTTAGGCTTCCAGCTTCTTCATAAATTTATCCCACCCCCCTTTCTGGCTGCAGCCACCATGAGGTAGCAGGAAATGCAGAGGCCTGGGAGGCTTGGGGTACAAGGTGCTCTGAGTAATAAGCCTTGATCCCTGTAGGGTTCTCCAGAGAGTTCTGAGATAGCAGGAAACCCAGGAGTTCTGTAGTCTGGCCTTTGGGAAGGAAGCCCCTCAGAATGAACTGTGTTTAGAGCTTGTTGCCCAAGCTTTTATTTATTTATTTTTTTTGTACAGATAGAGTGGGAGGGAGAGAGAGGAAGGGAGAGAGAAAGAGAAACATCGACGTGAAGGAACACATCGAGTGGCTGCCACCCGCACAACCAACCAGGGCCGGGGACAAACTGCAACCGAAGTACGTGCCCTTAGCGGGAACCGAACCCGGGTCTCTCCGGACCGCAAGCCGACGCTCTAACCGCTGAGCCAAACTGGCCAGGGCCCAAGCTTTTATTAACTCTAACTACTGGACAGGTAGTGGGCAGAGCTCCACAACTTGGCTTCTTCATTTTCTGAGCATCTGCAGGTGGAAGTGAGGCCAACTGCCAAGCTCTGGGTCATGGTGGGGTGGGAACAGGCCCAGGTATTCAGACTGGGCCCGCCTCTTTGGGTTTCACAAAAAGTTGTTCATTGGTACCCACCATATTTGGGGCAAATGGGGGACCTACAGTAGGGCAGGCCCAGGTCTCACCTTTCAGCACCTTCACATCCAAAGCCTGGGCTGCCACCTGCTTCTAGGCTCTGGACCCTCTCCAGATATGTCCCTACATGACAGTGTACCAAGGGATACCCCCTGGCCTGCAACCTGTCTCAGTGACTGAGGTGACCAGCCCTGCCCAGCAAGGCAGTGAAAGCACTTTTGGCTTTGTTTTAATGCTGATGTCCTTTTTCCTCAGAACTCAGCCTCCTCCCAGGCTCCCTGTGGGCCCCAGCCACAAGCTCTCCAACAATTATTACTGCACTCGTGACGGCCGCCGGGAAGCAATGCCACCTTCGATTGTCATGTCTTCACAGAAGGCACTGGTGTCAGGCAAGCCAGCAGAGAGGTGAGGATGCTACACACCCCTCCTGCAGTCAGCCTTTTCTCTCACGTCTGCTTTTCATGTCCCCATTTATCTAGCATCAGCTGTGTTGGGAACTGTGCTGCCTGGGCCTTTTCATCTGCAAACTCATTTAATGCCCACCTATTCCAGTGTAAGGGTTAGGGCCTCAGCAAGGGTGTGTTTTCTACAAATCAGATAAAACGCCAAGGTTCCTTCAAGGTCCCTGGGAGAAGGCCAGGCATTGTTTTGTAATTTTGTTTTGTTTTAAAACAATCATGTTTTATTTTTTTTTATTTTAATTCTCACCCGAGGACATTTTTCAATATTTTGTTCAGATAGAGTGGGAGGGAGGGAGAGAGAGAGAGAGAGAGAAACATCGATGTGAAAGGGACACATCGAGTGGTCGCCACCCATACAACCCAACCAGGGCTGGGGACAAATCGTAACCGAGGTACGTGCCCTTAGTGGGAACAGAGTCTGGGTCTCTCCAGACTGCAGGCCAATGCTCTAACCGCTGAACCGAACCGGCCAGGGCTTGTTTGTTTTTTTTAATATCCTCACCCGAGCACATTTTTCCATTTTTTATTCAGATAGATTGGGAGGGAGAGAGAGGAAGAGAGAGAGAGAAACATTGACATGAATGGGACACATGGAGTGGCCGCCACCCGCATGACCCAACCAGGACCAGGGACAAACTGCAGCCAAGGTACATGCCCTTAGCGGGAACAAAACCCGGGTCTCTGTGGACCGCAGGCTGATGCTCTAACCGCTGAGCCAAACTGGCCAGGGTAGGGCTTTTTTTTTTTTTAATTGAGGTGTGCCCTGGCTGGTTTGGCTCAGTGTTCGAGCATCGGCCGGCCCATGGACAGAAGAGTCCTGTATTTGATTCTGGGTCAAGGGCACAAACTTCAGTTGCAGGTATGATTCAGGGTCGTGTAGGAGGCAACCAATTGATGTGTCTCTCACATTAGTGTTTCTCTCTCTCTGCCTCCCTCCCTCCCACTCTATCTAAAATCAGTGGAAAAATAGTAAGGATTAAGAAAAAGTTAACTAAAAAGAATGAATAGCCCTGGCCAGTTTGGTTCAGCGGTTGGAGCATCGGCCTGCGGTACAGAGAGACCCGGGTTTGGTTCCTGCTAGGGGCACGTACCTCGGTTGCAGTTTGTCCCCGGCCCTGGTTGGTCGTGCGGGTGGCAGCCACTCGATGTGTCCCTTCACATGGATGTTTCTCTCTTTCTCTCTTCCTCTCTCTCCCTCCCGCTCTATCTGAACAAAAAAAAAAAGGAAAAATGTCCTTGGGTGAGGATAAAAAAAAAAGAATGAATAGAGAAAGAAAGAAAGAAAATAAAAAATAGAGGATAGAGGTCTGCCGTAGTTGGTGTAGCTCAGTGGATAGGGCATTGGCCCTCACACTGGAGGGTCATGGTTTTGATTACAGTCAAGGACATGTACCTGGGTTGCAAATTTGATCCCTGGCCTGGGGGGGGGGGGGGCAACCAATCAGTGTGTCTCTCTCACATTGATGTTTCTCTCTGTCTGTATGTCTCTCTCCCTCCCTTTCACTCTCTAAAATTCAATGGAAAAAATATCCTTGGGTGAGGATTAACATACAAACAAAAAAAGGTATAGTTGACATATAACATTGTATTAGTTTCAGGTGTACAACATAATGATTTGACATCTATATATTGTGAAATGAACACTATAATAAGACTACTTAGTGTTCATCACTTAACATAATTAAAATTTTTTTGTGTGTTGAGAACTTAACATCTGTCTTAGTAACTTTCAAATATACAGTACAGTACTAACTATAGTCACCATGCTGTACATTACATCCCCAGGACTTATTTATTTATTTACTAATTTTAGAGAGGAAAAGGGAGAGGGAGAGAGAGATAGAAACATCAATGAGAGCCCTGGCCAGTTTGGCTCAGTAGTTCAGCGTCGGCCTGCGGACCAGAGAGTCCTGGGTTTGGTTCTGGCTAAGGGCACGTACCACAAAAAAAGAAAGAAACATCTATGAGAGAGAACATCGATTGGCTGCCTCCTGCATGCCCCCCACTGGGGATTTGGCCCACAACTTGGGCATGTGCCCTGACCAGGAATTGAACTGGTGACCTCTTGGTGCATGGGTTGACGCTCAACCAGTGAGTTACACCCACTGGGCAGGACTTATTTATTATATAAAAAGAAGTTTGTACCTTTTTAAAAATATATGTTTTTATTGATTTTTTTTTTTTTTTTAGAGAGAGAAAGGGGGGGGAGAGAGAGAGAGAAACATTGAGATGAGAGAGAAACATCAATCAGCTTGCCTCCTGCATGCCCCCTTCTGGGGATCAAGACCGAAATCCAGACATGTGCCCTGACCCGGAATTGAAATGGGACCTCTCAATTCACTGGACGGTGCTCAGTCCACTGAGCCACACTGGCCAGGCAGTTTGTACCTTTTAACCCCCTTTGCCCACCCACTACTTTCCGCCCCTGGCAACCACCAATCAGTTCTCTATATCTGTGAGCTTGTGTGTGTGTGTGTTGTTTGTTTTTTAGATTCCACATATAAGTGAGGTCATATGGTACTTTGTCTGACTTACTTCACTGAATATAATACCCTCTAGCTCTCTAGGTCCATCCATGTTTTTGCAGATGGTAAGATATCATTCCTCTTCCAGCTCAGCTTTGGCAGCCACTGAGAAGAAAGCAGTGACACCAGCTCCTCCCATACAGAAGTGGGAGCTATCCCAGGACCAGCCTTACCTGTGACACTGCTCTGGGCCACCTGTCTATGCTCTCAGGTCCACTGAGTGCTTCTCCTCCTTGTCTTCCATCCTGGGAGAATATGACCTAACTTATGACAAATATATTGTGCTCTCTAGTATCACTTCCATTTGACTTTTAAAGTGACACTGGGTTTACTTGGATTTTGCGGTGAAGTTGGTGCCAAATCTCTTAACTCTGTCAGTGCTGCAGGGACAGGGAGGGATAGTGGTTCTCAGGCTCCAGGGTGACGTGTTGCAGACATGGATGACATGGTACAGAGATATCAGAGATGTCCCTGTCCCTTCTCCAAGAGCCTGGCTCCATCCATGAGAGTGGTGGGCTGGATTCCAAGGCCTCTGGGGGTTTGGAGGCTCTGACTGTGAAGGGCAGCAGGACCAAACACACACTGCTCACTTAACTCTCTCAAGAGCTTCCCAGCCACTGCTCATGTGGATCCTCCCACTGTGGCCCCTGCCTGACTTTGACCACCCTGCAGCTCAGTAGGGAAGGCAGAGGATAGCAAGGTGGCTTATAGGTAAGGCTTACCTAGGGCAGATGAGGAAAGGCCTCCCTGAGCCAGAAACCTTTCTACTCAGGGCCTGGGGGCAGAGGAGGTGAGGCTGATTCAGCCATGGAATAGAAGGGGCTTGTGTCTGGAGGAATGAGCAGGAGAGTAAAAGGCAAAAAGAACTGGCCCCAGTCTGGTTGCAGGAGTGACAGGGAGACATGCAGTGACCTCAACTAGGGGAGTGGCATGGCTGCCCCATGAAAGAACCTGTAGCCCTTCAGTAGGTTAAGATCAGCTGTGTGCCTGGAGAGTGGAAGTGGAGAAAAAGGCAGGAGGCAGGAAAGGGTCACAGTCCCAGGCAGGAGATGTAAGTGTCCCAGAGTGGGCATCTCAAATACTAAAACTTGGAGCTCATTAGAGGGAGGGAGTCTCACAGACTGAAACCCCTCATAAGACTTCTTGGAGGAGGTGGGGTTCTGATTGGAGTAAATGATAAATCAAATTCAGGAAGATCAGGAGGGAGAGGAAGGCTGATCAGGGTACGTGGAAGCTACAATGAGGACAAACCTAGAGGGCTTCATGAGACCCCAAGCAAGATGTGCCATTGAAGGTTTGAGAATAGTTTTATGAGCCAGACTTTAAATTTGGCAAGGGAGTAAAGTAGGAAAGTGGTCTGACACCTGAGCTCTTTCTGTGTGCCAGGTGCCGTTCTGAATGTTCCTATCCATGATCTTGGCTCCTTTCATCCTGTGAGGTCATCACTGCTGTCAAACCTTGACAGAACTGAGGCTTGGAGAGTGCAAGAGTTGCTTCAGCTTTTTTTTCCCCTGGATCCCAGCTGTCCCCCTTACCAAGATGCTGAACAGCCTCTAAGGCCTGCTACCCCCACCCCCACAGTCCTCTTTGCCACCCTTTCCACCTGTCTCTGCACCCTTCTTGCCCCATTTCCCTGGGAATCTGGGAGATTATTATCAGAAAATGTAACTATTCCAAAAGCAGCCATAACCTCCAACATTTTCAAATAGTGAAGTGTGTCATCAACCTGTAAATAGAGCCCCTACAGTGAAAATCTGTATGCTTTATAAAATGTAGCTTCACAGGAAACTTGGGGAGTGGTACATACTTGCATATCTGTCATAATGCTGAGGGACAGTGATTTGGTTGGGTGGGGTTGTGCTGGCAGTTGGATGTGCTGCTTTTGAAGGCAGAGCTGTAGATGAACATATTTTCCTTTTTTGTTTTATTTTCAAGGTACTTTATTTTTAAAATGGCACAACACTAAGCTTCTGGCCTGTTCTGCCAACATACAAGCTACAAATGCTTGCTCAGCAGCTGAGAGACACTCAATAGTATTATGCTTGAAAATTGAATAAAAATCTATATAAAACAAGTATTCAAATAGTTTCCATAAGAACACAGATAAGTGTGACCCCATCACTTAGCCTTCCACATTGGTCCATCTGTGCCAGACCTACTTAAAAAGACATTTCAAAACTAGCAATAATTAAGTTCAAGGGTTCCCCCAAGTCCCTAGGTCAAGCTACACTCGCAAAACAGCTATAAGAATTGCTTCTACACATTAATACGAGCTGCAGCACAGGTTGCTGGGTGGTGCTTCATTCCATTCTCCCAGGCATAGGACAGGGGCAGAGTGCTGATGTCCTGCTCCTCCACCTCTGGTAAGTCGTGGTTTTGGATTTGCATCAGTTGCCATGTTGGCCCTGACATCAGGAAGTAGATGGTCGGCCTCTGGAATCCACTGAAAGTAGTAGCAACAGTGTAAGCACCCATGTTTTCAAAGAGCATCCAGTCCCCTATGTGCACAGTACTCTACAATGTGGTTAAAGCCATCACATGTTGGTCCCTATATGCTGGATGAATAATAGTTCTCATCTGGTTTGGGTCTCTTATGCAGAAGAGGCTTCACATGTGCATGATCATAGAGGATGCAATTAAATGATCCATATACTTAATCATTTACATAATATATAAAGGTTTTTTTCACTTGACTCATCAGTATTTTTGGCAATGATAACTGCAAATGTGAAAGCTGATGCAACGTAGTATCTTCCTGGCTCAGCTATGACTGTCACTTCCAGGTCTGATGGAAAATACTTGGCCAGGGCTGGGTTGATTTCTTCAAGTTTAAGCTTTCATCCTCAAATCCAGGAACACCACCACCAATATCAAGCAGATACATGGTGAAACTAACCTCAGCTCCCATGTCAAAGACACAGTGGGCATTGAAGATGGCTTGCACAGAAGTCTCAGTGTAGGCATAGCCACTTCCCACTTGGAAACACACCAATCCTGCCTATTCCAAAAGAAGCATGCTAATTTTGAGTGTGGCACCGAATTTAACACTGAGACGACAGACTACTTTGGAATCATCAGCGGCAATCCACAGAACCAATTTAGCCTTTGCATATGCCCTGGCAACTTGCATCAATTCAACTTCACTATCGAAAGTCATCTGGACTCCACTATTGGCAGCCTACTTAATCTGAGACACTTGTTTACAAGGATTTGCATAGCTAATCCTCTCTGGAGGCACCTCAAGTCTTGCTGGCAGTCAAATCCCATCTGGATAGCAGGCAGGGTCTTCACTATGGTTCTGCTGTCATTTCATTTGATTGCATAAAAGCGGGTGACCAAAGGAAAAGCTTTTAACTATTTAAGATGTTTCTTTAGAATGTCTCCCAAGTCTGCAATATAGAAGGCATTCTTATCATTGGAAGAAGAGACTTCATTAATTTTTTGATCCAGAATGTCTTTGGCAGTAAAGCCCTCATCGAGGAAATGGCAGTCAAACTCTTCATTACAAACGTTGTTCATGGTTTCTGGATATTCTTGTGAAGCGCAACAAAAAGGAAAAACTAAGATGGGATTTAAAGAAATTATTGCCAGCTTTTCACAAAGGCAACTCTCCAGGAGTTCCAAGTGCAGTGGAAGATGGGTGTCGTCTCCGAGGAGCAGTGGGAATGTCTTCTGAGCGCTGGGGTGCCTCACGCCTATCCTCTGGAGACGCTGCCGCTGCCGCTGCCGCCGCCGCCGCAAAGCACTCGGGGCCGCGGGCTGCCCCCGTAGGCCGCCTGCCGCCTCGCTCTCTCCTGCGGAGGACCGCCAGCCCGAGGTGGCACGGGAGCGCTGGCAAAGGCGGCGGAGGCGGAGGGGACTGACCGAAAATATTTTCAAGAAGAGAACGCAGAAGCCAGATTGACTAGAAAGCTTGCAGAAGGTTTATTTTATGTGCCTCCTGGGTGAGTGTGAGAAGTGAAGACCCAAGGATTGCCTTCGCATATCTTGTTCTCAAAGTGAAGAATACTTCCCTATTGGGTACATGAGGACTTAATGAGGCAGTGAGCATGGGTGAGCGCATCCAGCTACCAGGGACAGAACATTTACATTTATATTTAAGAGCCCACTAAGGCACTGTTGGAGGCACTGGGGGCACAAAAACGGCATTCCTGGCCCCCTGGACCTGACATTCCAGTGGGGGATCAGACACTAAACCAAAGTAAGTGAGTAAAATATATAATGCATCGAGTGCACGAAAGAAGTACAGTAATTAAAAGGCCAGGATGGGGCAGGCCTGAGGGGAGTGGCTGCCATATTAAATAATTGGGCAGTACATTTGCTGCAGGAAGCATATTGAACGTTAAACACTGTTAAGTAGACACCGACAAGTTCGTTTCCATCTCCCCGTACCTTTCGCTATACCTTGTCACCGGAGAAAGTGCGGAAGAGTCTCAAATCGTGGGTCCCTTCGTATTCGGACATTTACGGTAGGCTTAGGCACAAGACCCATCAGGTTTGGGCCCCGCCCCAAGCCTGTGCGCCTGCGTGCGCGGGGATAAGAGCTAGGCCCAGACGGCGTGCGGCCAGTCCAGGGCTGGGTTGGCACGTTGAGCAGTTGGATGGCACCCGGAGGAGCAGACCAAACTGCCGCTCTGGGCCTGGCCCTGTGGCTGCTGTTTGGCTTCGGACTGGGCCTGGAGGCCGCCCCGACCCGGTCCCCCGCTCAGACCATAGGTGAGTGAGCTCTGCGCAGCCCGCGCCGGCAGCCTAACTTCGTCCGTACCTGCACCAACTCACCATTGGCTGCGCCGCTCGTCTGTCCCAGTCACCCCTACTTCATGTGGCTGTTGACTCCTTAGCCGGGAGGTTATGCGAGTCTTCACCAATGGAGGAGTTCATTGCCTTTACCCTCCTCTGGCCCTGCTCACACCCTCCACCTGCTCTGCTTTGTTGTGATGCATTGTCACCTCCAAGCCGTCCTTCAGCCCAGCGTGGGAAGGAAGTCTCACTGCAGGCTCTGGTTGACTGACCTCTAACACTGCAGGGCCGATCACCTGGTACCTGGTACTTTATGCAGCAGCTGCACCTTCCAAACCCTGGCGCCTGAGCTGAGGCCATGTGGCTGTTTCCTCGGTGACCATCCCCCCCTTCTCAATCTCCACTTTTCTCTTCTGGCCTTAGCGAATGAAAGGTCTCCCTCCCTGTGACCCCTGGCCTGTGCGATATTGGTGGCTGTCTCTGAGATTCCCAGAGGCAGCTGTGAGGGTTAGAGTGGCCTCCCTGTGTGCACAGGTGCCCCTCAGCTGTGAAGTCAGGTTCACACACCTGCTCCTCCGTGGGTTCCCCTCTTATCTCGTCCCCTGCCTCCCCCTAAAGTCCCTGCCTTTTCAGGTTAAATGTCCCCTCAAGGAAGGGAGGACTCATGTTAACCAAGTACCAAACTCTTTTTTTTTTTTTTTTATCCTCACCCGAGGACATTTTTCCATTTTTTGTTCAGGTAGAGTGGGAGGGAGAGAGAGGAACAGAGAGAGAGAGAGAGAAACATCGACGTGAAAGGAATACATCGAGTGGCTGCCGCCCGCACAACCGACCAGGGCCGGGGACAAACTGCAACCGAGGTACATGCCCTTAGCGGGAACCGAACCCAGGTCTCTCAGGACCACAGGCCGATGCTCTAACCGCTGAGCCAAACCGACCAGGGCAGTACCAAACTCTTTATATACAAGCAGTCTCCTTGGGACACTGAGGTCACCTAACTGCCCATTTACAGGTGAGAAAACAGAAGCTGGGAGGGGAAGTCGCTGGCCTGGCCCCCTAACCATATGAAGCGGGGTCAATCTGCTCTGCTGCCCACTTTACATGGGACACACACTCCAGCAGGCCAGGGAGAGATGTTGTTTGTCCTGGCCAAGATTGGCTAGGCCTGGGGAGAAAGCCAAACCTGGAGGCTGACAGTCCCCCATGGACAGGGAAGAAAACCAGCTCCAGGTTGTCTACAGCTTTTCCGGGCTCCACCGAGCTCAGGGACTGTGTGGCCTATGGCTGCAGTTGGGCCTGGAGGTCTGCAGAGTAGCCAGCTATGGCAAGTGGGGTGTTTGGAGGCTCAGGCTCTGTGAGTAAAGGTGGAAGGGGCAAGTGGACCAGCATCAAGTGGAGTGGGGCCAAGCCAGATATTTGCTACCTGTCTTGCTACACCCAGGAGGAAGCCCTAAAAGGTCACTCTTTTGCTCTGTCCCTCAAACTCTTACCTGCTGACTCAGGTTTCAGTTCTTTCCATGCTCCTCCAGATCAGCATACTGCCCAAGCCTTACTGTTGGGGGTCCAGGAAGGCTCAGATCTCATCTGAGTGTGACCTCTGTCCACTTATTGTCAGTTACCACCCTGGAATTTCGGTCACAGGGTCATGGTCCTGACACACTGAGTGTCCAGTCTATTCCATATCAGTTTAAGGACCATTGTTATAAGTGGAAAGCAGAGCCTCAGAAATCTCTGGAAGAGGCAGGATACCCCTCCCAGGAAATAGATTGAGATCTGAAGACTGAGGAGGAAATCACCAGGTACAGAGTGGAGGAAGGAAAGGGTGTACTGGGCCAAGAAACAGCAGACAAAGGCCCTGAGGTGGAACAAGCCAGGCCTCTTGGAGAAGCAGCGGGGAGGCCAAGACAGAGGAAGCTTGATTAAGAGGAGAATGTGGGAGGAAAATGTTCTAGGAAAGGTTCAGGGCTGGACTAGGCCTTGTGGGTCACTTGGAAGAGGTAGGATTTGGTCATGAGAGGGCTGGTAGACCAGGAAATGGCTTTGAGCAGAGGATTGGTGAGGAGGATGACTGAATGATGTGACTCTGAGAGGTTTTCCAGTGTCCAAATGGAGATAGGGGTGGGGGCCTGGTGAGGTAGCACATTTAGGATGGGGAAAGTGGTCAGATCTGGGAGGAATTTGGGAGCTAAGTAGGTCCTTTACCCAGGGCCTCAGTTTTCCCTTTGTTAAGTAGGTGGAATGTAATGGGCCCTGCTGACCCTGACCATGAGCCTGGTTCAGGGCAGGTTCAGAGATGGCCCCTCCCCAAGTCTGTTTAACCATGAAGTTTGGAGAGAGTCCTGGGGAGATCTCTGGCCATTTGGAGCCTGGTAATAACTCCAGGATCAGTGAGACCTGTTTTTGAATCTTGACTCTGCCACTAGTTCTGTTGCTTTTGGCCTTACATCTCCTCAGTGTTTTCTGTAGAATGAGGATCTCAGTAGAACCTGTCCAGGAGAGCTTGTGGTGAGGCCATGAACTCTGGCTCCAAGCCTCACATAGAAGGTCTTCAGCAAAGGTTAGCCACCAATGTAGTTCCAGTACCCTGGGACCTGGCCTGTCTCCTGGTGTTCACAGCCTGTGACTACTGGACTTCTGGAGAGGTTTCAGACTCAGGCCCTCCAGGCTTCACTTTGTGTTCATCTTGCAGGCCCCAGCGCAGGTTCGTGCCCACCCACAAGCTTCCAGTGCCACATCAGAGGCTACTGTGTGCCCCTCATCTGGCATTGTGATGGTGACCAGGACTGCCCTGATGGCAGTGATGAGGAGGAGTGCAGTGAGTGGCCACACCTTGGGGTGGGGCTTGCAAGGGTGGGACCATAGGAAGGGGTTTATGGAAGGGGTATGGCTTTCAGGGAGCCCAGTTGGGTGGGGCCTGAGGGTAGATGGGGCTTGTAAGAGGGAGTCTCAGGCTTGAGAAGAAGTGGGTTTACAGGGAGGTGGAGTTAGTGTGGTCTTAGAACTGGAGGCTTGCAAGAGGGTAGGCTGTGGGGAGTACCTGGGCTCTGTTGTGGGGGTATTAGGGACCTAACTGACTCTGTACTCCAGAGATGGAGCCGTGCACCCAGGATGGGCAGTGCCCACCACCCACAGGCAGCCTCTGCTCTTGTGACAGCATCAGTGACTGCCCCGATGGTATTGACAAGATCCTTCCCAACTGTAGCAGCCAGTCCTGCCCAGCAGGGGAGCTCCGCTGCCTGCTGGGCAACACCTGCATCCCACATACCTGGTTCTGTGATGGCCACCCGGACTGTCCTGACTCCAGAGATGAGCTTGGCTGTGGTGCGTGCCTTGGGACCTCATCATGGCTGTAGCAGTGGGGAGGGCTCATCATTAGATAAGGATATTTGACACCTTCCGGTGTATGACCAGGCTTGGGGTGTGGACATGTGCATTTGTTCTTGTCTGCATCCCTGTGGGGGCAGTGAGAGGTAACTCCTGGCACCAGTACTCACCAACCTCACTCAGGCTGGAATGGAAGATGAGTCTCAAGGTTCCCCTCAGGCACCTGGAACACCTCTTTACCCCACCACCACATCCCTTCCCCAGCTAATGAATGCCTGGACTTATTGCAGGAACTGAGACCCTCCAGGAAGGCACGTCTGTGGGGACCCCTGTGACCCCTGTGATCCTGGAGAGTGTCACCTATCTTGGGAATGCCACAGCCACCTTTGTCAGGGACCAAGACTCAGTCCAGTCTGGAAATCGAAATGCCTATGGAGTTATTGCAGCTGCCGGTATGATGAACAGGCCCTCCTATTCCCATTCCCTGGGCCTGGGGCAGCTGCTCTTAGGAGCTGGGGCTTGAGGAGGGGACAGGCTACAAATCCCAGTCTCCATGCATTAGGAGCTTGGTGGGTGTGGAGATTCCTTCTACTTCCTCACCCACCCATCTGTCTGTTCCCCACAGTGGTGCTAAGTGCAGGTCTAGTTGCTGTCACCCTGCTTGTGTTGTCCTGGCTTTGTGCTCAGGGGCTCCTGTACCCGCCGGAGCTGCTGGTGGCCATCAAGGAGTCCTTACTGATGTCAGAGAGGAAGACCTCACTGCTCTGAGGATGAGCTCTTGCCATCATGCTACTGGGGCTCTGAGTGGCAGATATGAGGACACACATATGGCTGTTGGCACACCAGCCCTCAGATATGAGTTCTTCTGGCCACACAGCACGACAGACCTGACTCCTGCAGACTTGATCCTGGAGACTGGAGATGCCTGATCCTACTTTTGTATGTGGGAAGTCTGGATTGGGATCATGCCCCATCTGAAACCAAAGAGTTGGCTCCAGGCTGCTTCGGGGTGACCCCTGCACAGACTCTGCTCCTGCCCCACCCCATCTGAGTGTGGTGATTAAAGTTATTTCACATCATCTGCCTGTCTCTGGGCCTCTGTCTCCCTCCCTCTGGGCAGCCTGGGTTCTGGGCAGCAGCCCTTTCTGTGGCCATTCTGCTTCTTGCTTCCTGGGACCCAGAGCAGGAGCATTGGAGCAGTCTGTGTTACCACGGGCTTCTTTGAGGAGAGCAGAGATTGGGCATTACCTTCTGGAGTCTAGGGGGATACCTGTCCATCATGGCTGCCTCCTCCTTGAGATGGAAGCAGGTCTCTGCTCCACTGCATTTTAAAATGTATATTTTAGCCCTGGCTGGTTTGGCTCAGCGGTTAGAGCGTCGGCTCACGGACCAGAGAGTCCTGGGTTTGGTTCCCGCGAAGGGCACATACCTCGGTTGCAGTTTGCCCCTGGCCCCGGTTGGGGTTGTGTGGGTGGTAACCACTTGATGTATCTCTCTTGCATCGATGTTTCTCTCTCTCTTTTCCCCCCTCTTTCCCTCCCGCTCTATCTGAAGATAAATGCAAAAATGTCCTCGGGTGAGGATTAAAAAAAATAATAAAATGTGGATTTTATTATTCAGGTATGATGAGGCCAACAGATCAGGAGAGGATGACCATTGAAAAGACATGTTGTAACTCGCTAAGAGGAGTGTTTTGTAGGTAGGGCCACACAAGGAAGCAACATGGGCAGTCTGGAGGCAGAGGGCCTCAAGGCTAGAACCTTGATTGTGGTTTTCACCAGAAGGAATGGGTAAGGCAGGGAAAGCAGGCTTGAATTGCTAGTTTGAATAGTTTCAGTGGGCTTGGCATAGGCACTGTCTGTTGTGTTAGCCTGCGGACAATGATGCACTCCGCTAGGGATGCCTGAGACACTCACCTGGGTCTTTATTACTCGTGCTGCCTCCACAGCTATTTCCCTGACTAGAATCAGTGTTGTGGGTGGACCAGCCCATATGGTTCTTTGTATGATCCCAGGATGTACCTCACCAGCAGCCATCAGAGAACTTCATGGAACAAGATTTATTACTCATGGGCTCACGGCCACACAGCATGATTGGGAAGGAGGCAAGGACGAAGGGCTCTGCCTTTATTAGGGACTGAGAGTGAGTCATCTAGGGGTGTCTGGGTTCTCTATTGGTGAAATTTTTTTTCCTTTATTTATTTATTTATTTATTTATTTATTTTTTAGAGAGAAAGGAAAAGAGAGGAAGAGAGACATGGAAACATTGATGAGAGAGAACATTGATTGGCTGCCCCTCGCAAGCCCCCCACTGGGGGTTTGGCCCACACCTGAGCATGTGCCCCGACCAGGAACTGAACCGACAACCTCCTGGTGCATGGTTCGACGCTCAACCACTGAACAACACCGGCTGGGCTCTGTCGGTGAATTTAAAGCATAAGAGAAGGAATTAGGGTGCAGGAAGGGAGAAGAGATCACTCAAGTGGTCAGTTATCTAGGTCACACAGGGCGTTCTGAAAGGGTCTTTTATGTGTGGGAGCAGCCTGATTCCTTATCTGGGTAGTCTTGTTAGTAGCTATGTCATAAGACTGGCATTGTGTTCAAGATGGATGTCTTGAAATGGATGCCTCAGCAATCAAAAAGCTTATTGTCAGTCACTTACACTATACTCTCCCTAGTTGGCACCTGGCCCTGCGGTGATCAGGACAGGAGGATAGTGGCTCTGGATCGGTTGGTTTGCATGTGAAAGGTGAGTCCAGGAACTAGCTAACCCTGAAGAACAATTCTTCCCTCATTAGGGAGATTCCAGTTGCCAGAGCATCAAAAATACAGAAAATAGCCCTGGCCGGCTTGGCTCAGCAGTTAGAGCATCCGCCTGCGGTCCAGAGAGACCCGGGTTCGGTTCCCGCTAAGGGCATGTACTTCGGTTGCAGTTTGTCCCCGGCCCTGGTTGGTCGTGCAGGTGGCAGCCACTCGATGTGTCCCTTTCGCATCGATGTTTCTCTCTCTCTCTCTTCCTCTCTCTCCCTCCCACTCTATCTGAACAAAAAATGGAAAAATGTCCTCAGGTGAGGATAAAAAAACAAACAAACAAACAAAAAACAAAAATACAGAAAATATAATTAAGACACATCCTAACTGCTGGGTGAGGAAGGCAAGGCTCTTCTCTGACTCTCTGTTTTCTCATCACTTAATGGGATGGCCAGGGCCCTGATAGCCTCCTTGTGGGCAATGTCATCACTGACATCCTTGGAGGGGGAATGGATATTTGCCATCAGCAGGTCCCATGCAGGGTCCTATACAGGATCTTGGGGCTCCCAAGTCTGGCTAGCAGAGAGCTGGCCCTTGTTGGGAGGGGATAGAGCAGGTGGGTACATCAGGAGGGCTTCCTGGAGGTGGTAAGACAGGTTTTGGAGTCTGGGCCTTAGGCAACATGTTGGGAGCTGAGTTCTCTGTGGGGCAGAGGGAGTTGAGGCTTGGGAAGTAGCTACAGCCAGGACAGGGGGTCCTTGACTGATGGAGCAGAGGATGCCCTGCCTTCTAGGGTAAAAGGCCTTCCCTCTGCACCCTCTAGGTGTACCCTGAGCTGGCTAAGACATCCTGCCAAAGAGATGAAACTATGGTGGGCTTCTTACAGTTGACAGGAAGGAGTGAGGGTTTTCTTGTTTTTAGGTTTCTTGGTTTTTCTCCTTTGCTCAGGTATGGTCAGCTGCAGTGGGCCAGGGGTTATGAGGCCAGCTGCAGGTGTCACACATAGCCTAAGCAGGGGCCTAAGATTTGGATCTTTTTGGGGTGTCACTTGGGTTCTCAGTTTTCAGGGAAGCCAACCACTATATGCCCAGGAGCTCCCAACAACCATCGATATTCTCTCATGGTTCTGAGTTCACTGAACTGACTGCTCCCCCGTTTTTTTTGGGGGGGGGTTGTTTTGTTTCTTGAGGAATCCAAACATTTAGTTTATTAAGTTAAGGCTAGTGAAGCTATAGCATGAAAAAAAGCTGCAGTCATTTGGGACAAATGGATGATTTTATAAAGCTAAAATCAAGACTAAAAACATGGAAAATTTGTTAAGTATGAGGAAGTAATAAAACACAAAAGTGATCACAAGAATTACAAATCCATTTAAATCTCAGACCTGGGAAATGGACCATACACAGCTTTCCATGGGAGAAGAGAAACGCCATATATGTTCTGACAGCACTACACCTTTGGCTTGTTTTCAGTGGTTGGTATACCATGAACAGGAACCACATTCTTGCTTAGAGATGTCATTTTCACGTCTGTCTGACATTTGCTTCTGGGAAACAATGTGATATATCTCTGTCAGAACTGTCTGAAAAGCAGCTTCTACATTTTTAAAGTCTGGAGCTGATGTCTCAGTGAATGACAAACCATTCTTTTCTGCAAAAGCTCTTGCTTCATGTGTAGGAACTGCCCTGAGATGACGCAAAACACTCTCATTGCCCACAAGCATGATGATAATGTTACTATCAGCATGATCTCTCAGTTCTTTTCAGCCATCACTCGACAATTTCATACGTGAAATGTTTAGCAATGTCGTAAACATTAAGGCACCTACAGCTCCATGATAGTATGCTGATGTTATAGCTTGATATCACTCTTAACCAGCCGTGCCCCATATCTGTGCCTTTACTGTTTTCCCATCAATCTGGATGCTTCTTGTTGCAAACTTTAGTGGTGCTCTTGCTTTCAAGATTAAATTCATTTCAAGTAAATCAAGACAGGAGATTACTCTTTCCAACACTGGAATCTCCAATAAGGACATTTTTATTTTTTTATTAATACTCACCGGAGAATATTTTTCCACTTATTTTTATTTATTTATTTATTTATTTATAAATATGTTTTTATTGATTTTTTTTTTAGAGAGAGGGAGAAAGAGAGAGAGAAACATCTATGTGAGAGAGAAACATCCATCAGCTGCTTCCTGTGTATCCTCCACTGAGGATCAAGCCTGCAACCCGGGCATGTCCCCTGACCAGGAATCCAACCGGGACCTCTCAGTCCATGAGACAGCACTCAATCCACTAAGCCTCACTGGCCGGGCTATTTTTATTTATTTTTATTTTTTATTTCATTTTTTTATTTTGTGTACGTGCCCCTAGCAGGAAGGGAACATGGGACTCTGGTCCGCAGGCCGACGCTCCAACCACTGAGCCAAACTGGCCAGGGCTATTTTTATTTATTTTTTAAATAATTTTTCTTGCCCTGGTCAGTTTGTCTCAGTGGTTAGAGCACTGGCCCACAGACCAAAGAGTCGCGAGTTTGATTCCGGTCAAGGGCATGTACCTCGGTTGTGGTTTTTGTCCCCGGCCCTGGTCGGGTTGTGCGGGAGGCAACCAGTCGATGTGTCCCTCTCATGTTGATGTTTTTCTCTTTCTCTCCCTCACTCTTTTCCTCCCTCCCTCCCACTCTATTTGAAGATAAATGAAAAAATGTGCTTGGGTGAGGATTTAAAAAAATGTTTTTTTTCTTTATTGATTTTAGAAAGAGAGAAAGGGAGAGGGAGAGAGATGGAGATGTCGATGAGAGAGAACACTGACTGGCTGCCTCCTGCATGCCCTCCACAGGGGATCAGGCCCACAACCTGACCATGTACTCTGACTAGGAATCAAACCAGTGACCTCTTGGTGCATGGGTCAGCACTCAACCACTGAGCCACACAGGCTGGGCTTTCCATTGATTTTTAGGAAGAGTGGGAGAGAAGGAGGGAGAGAGAGAAACATTGATGTGAGAGACACATGGATTGGTTGCCTCCCACACGACCCCAACTGGGGCCAGGATCAAACCCGAAACTGAAATACTTGCCCTTGACTGGGAATTGAACCCACAACTCTTCGATCCAAGGGCCGATGCTCTAACTGCTGAGCCAAATTGGCCAGGGCTCCCCCCACCCTTTTTTGTAATGTTACTATTATATTTTATTTTTTCAGGTTTTAACAGAATTTTCAATTACAGTTGACATTCAATATTATATTAGTTTGCCTGGCTGGTGTGACTCAGTGGTTGAGCATCGACCCATGCACCAAGAAGTTGCCAGTTCGATTCCCAGTCAGAGC